ATTGTTATTTAATTTCCATATATAGTTTGTGTTACATGTTGCCAGGATGTGCAATTACAATAACCAATATTTAATGGAAGCTTCATTAAACCAAAAAGAAAATAAAGGTTCGAATTAAATTGATCCATGTATCTCTCTTATAAATTAAATATTACTATGTTTCTAGCGACAATTATATGAATTATTAGCCTAATGTGGGATTTATTGCTTAGCAATGTTTTATGCTAAAAAACAAGTTCCTTTAATCTTATGGTAAGGCTTTACTTTATTGCGTCTAGCTTTGATTAATCATTTTTACTATGAGGAGATACCTTAAGTAAATGTGTATATATTCAGTGAATTATTCGTTCATTGTAATTGTAAGAATGCTCTATTTTTCTGTAGCTATGTTTTCATATGGAGCTTGGATTAGGATGACAAGAGGCTTCATTGTTGAGATATTTTGCTGTTTTATTGTCAGAAAAAAAAAAAGAATAGGGATGAGTTTCAAAATTCATTAATTAATTTTTTTATTGCATCAGTCTCAAAATAAACCCAATAGCTTCTTGATTGTTTTCACCTAAAAATTCATTAATTAATTAATTGTTTTCACCTAAAAGCTTCTTGATTGTGTCTCAAACTTGGGATTGGACATTTTATGTATTTGTATGTCTATCATAGAAATATTAAAAAAGATCGTTGGTTTTTATTTTTCAAGTACCCATATCTCATGATTTTATGTATATGTTTGTCTTTAAAGAGCATATAATTTGTAAAAATATGTATGTATTAATGATACAATACAACAAGATAATTGTATTAGTTATTATTATATTCTTTTATTTATTCTCTTATGCTCATTTACATTCAAGCATCCTTGTAAATGTTATTAATGTAGATGAACTTAATGCTAGCTAAGTTATGGCCGAGACATGTATGAGCCTCTCATTTAAGGAAAAATTATAAAAATCTAATAACATTTTTTTTGAAAATAAAATTATTTGATATAAAATAGAATTCATTTAAATAAAAATGCAAGACAACCATGAATTATTTTTAATTAAGATGAAATGTTTCAACTAAAAATTTCAACTTTACATTTTAGGCTTAATCACTTAATTCTTTCCCGCTCATCTTGCATATTAAACTCATTTCAGAAAATTTTTTGATGAATGTTACTAGATTGTGTGGTAGATCGTTGTTGTAAGAGCAAACTTTTCAATATTAGTTATTTCATTAGCTCAATATTTACATTTAAGATGTAGTTCTTTGTTTAGAATTTTGTTTAGTTTTGGGTATATTATTGCTTATGTAGTTGATGTTTTTCATTTATCTTCCATTAGTCATATTCTTCTTTTCCTTGTTGAAATAATGTTAAAGACTCGTTGATGCAGTATGATTTTATTCTTAATTATTTTGTTTATATGTTTCTATTTGCAGTTATAAAATTATTTTGATCGTGACTCCATGAGATTTATCTAATGAGTTTGAGATTGATCATGTCATCATGTCATGTGTTGCTGGAGTATACCATCTTCCAAACCAGGTTGTGACAAAAAGGCCACCAAAGTAAGAAATACAGTAATAGTACATAGCTCTCATAGGATCAAACCATTTAGACATTTTTTCTACTTTCTTCACTTCAAAGCCACCAACTTTTTCATGTGATCACTAATTTTTTTATTAAAATAATAATTTTTATAGGTAGAGCAACTCTTTCTATTTCGGCACTCTGCCATACTCTTCATGAGGTGATTATTGATGGTCTTGAGATTCTAAGTAAGTGTAGTTCCGACAGCTGTGGCAGGGATCTTCTTGAATAATGCCCCCAAGGAGAAGAGTGGATCAGAAATTGGGTAGTTGTAGTATGATAAAACCACTTAAATATTTTTTTTCTATTTTCTTCACTCCAAACCACCAACTTTATTTTATTCATGTGGCAGCTAATCCTTTTTGAAGAAGATAATAATCTTTTTATCAAGCAGAAATCTTTGAGGTCGCATTCAAAGTCACCAAGTCATTATGATTTCTCACCTTCTTTATTTCCAACTTTTATTTTCTCCACCAAAATTTTTGTTATTATCATCCCTTGTTTTTGCCTCGTCAAGCTTCAAGCTTTCCATGCAGCATCTCCATAATGCTTTGTGTAGTGACTTCAATAGAACTAGAGAAGAGGACGATGAATATTCACAAGACAAATGAAACTAGTTTAGAAGTGGAGCAACTCTATTTGTTTCTGGCACTCTACCATACCCTGCATGAGATGATTATTGATGCTTTTGAGGTTCTCATTAAGTGTACTTTCGACATCTGTGACGTCAAGGAGAAGAGTGGATCGGGATTGAGTGGTTGTAAAATGATAAAACCAATTTCATATTTTTTCTACTTGCTTCACTTCAGACCACCAACATCATTTTTTTTCATGTGGCCACTAATCTTCTTTTAAGAAAATAACAATCCTTTTATCAAACAAAAACTTTTAAGGAAGCTTTTACTTGATTGTCAACATTCAAAATCTCTATATCTGTAGGCTTCTCACTTTCTCTCTTTCGAATTTCAATTTCTCCACCAAAAACTTTTGTTGTTATCATCTCTTATCTTTATCCTTCAAGCTTCAAGCTTTCCATGTCAGCATCTCCGCCAAACTGTGTGGTGATTTCAATAATGTTAGAGAAGATGACGGACGTCGAACTGCTATGAAGCTAGTTAGAAGTGCAGCAACTGGATCTGTTTCCGGCACTCCGCCGCATCCTTCATGAGATGATTATTAAGAGTTTTGAGGCTCTCAATATGTTGATTTAAGTTGAGCATTCTGAAATCGGTGAGAATGCAACTTATTGATAAAATTGAATTGTGAAATCAGGGCATTCCCTATTATTGGTTCCGCTTGTCTTCTCTACCTGAATAATAATTCTCAATTAAACTTCAGATGCTTGTATAAAACAGAATATCAACAAGTACCGATAGGATGAACGTTGAAACCAGAAAATGAGACATGATGCAGATATATCTAATCTAGTAAATAATAAATATAACAATTATATGTGAATATAGCACAAAACAGCTGATACATAAGTGAATCAAGTCTTAATGTCTAGTTGAGAGGAAATGCCCAGTTATTCAGAAGTTCTTATTAAAAGCAATGATTGAAACTAGTAACTTAAAACTAAATGTAATGTTTTAATTTAAAACAAAACTCAGGCTAATTATGAGTAAATTCCCCAAATTGATGTTTTTATGTTTGTCCTGAGCAATGATGTCAACTTTGCCTTTGGATTAGTGCTGATGATGTTAATATTATGGCTGAATTTGCATACTTTTAGTTTTCTTTAAGTTGACAAGATGGGTTTACATACTTTTTGTATGGAAAATTCTGCTTGTGCAAATATTTGTAATTATGAAATTCATGAGGCTCTTTCTATTAATGATTTCTACACTGTTAATATATCCCTGATTTTGATGAAATAAATGTTATGAGTAAAGTGTCAAAATAGTCCCTGACTATTTAATATAGAACCATTTTATTTTCAAAATTTATAGAAGTGTCAAAATAATCTCAAATTATTTTGAAATTGAGCTCTAACAGTGCTATATGAGGATTATTTCAGCCCAATTTAAAGAAGTCTTTGGACTGTTTCGACATATTTTTTTAACTCTGGAACTAAAATGATCTGTAAATAGTCAGGACTATTTTGATACTTTGATTATTTCAGCCCAATTTAAAGAAGTCTTTGGACTGCTTCGACATATTTTTTTAACTCTGGGACTAAAATGATATGTAAATAGTCAGGACTATTTTGATACTTTACTCTAAATTTTATTAACTTGGGAGATGTGGAGTTTGCTTAACAATAGTTAGTTTGTGATTTTATTTTTTTTTTTTTTTTTTTTTTTTTTGAAACATAGTTTGTGCTTGATAAATGATAATGACATGCTTCTTTTATGTAAGCTCATGTTCTTTTGGCTCCCTTAGTTTCCTACTCATTCTAACCTTGTGAGCAACCTTTAAGCATGATTTAAATAAAAAATTCATGTCAGGGCTTCTTGTGCATGAATGAGGATAATCAATTCTAGTGCGACATAGCTCCTTTTCATAGTTGTGAGTGGAGAAGAAACTTATTTTCAGCCTCCAATCGGCATAGTAGGGCCTTAAGTCATTCGGACACGAATTTTACCCGAGCTCCCCTCAAAAAATTTGATTTATATGACTCAAATCGGCCTAAATTTGACTTTAATAGTAGTAATGCTTTATCTTAAATGGGTTTTGCTGGTTGGTTTTGGGTCAGTGTGTTGATTTCAAAATTCGAGTTGATTTAACCCGCTTAACATTTGAGTCAGTGTAGCTTGAATCTGATTTGACACCCTGCGTAATTTAAGCGCTGCCTCATAAGCAGTTTAAGGTGCGTATGAACGGACTATTTCAACAATTTATTCTTTATTTTTTTGGGGGTATGCAGTGTTCTGTAAGAATTGTTAAATGATATTAAGGTGATACATTGCATTATAAGTTGCTATTGTGATTTTGGAGACATAATGGTAGGCATTTCCCTCTTGGTTTATCAAGCCAAAGTTTCCCAACATTTTACTTCTAGTCTTTTTATTAATTGGAATTATATATACATAGCACACAATCTTTATGCATTTACATTTCTCACACCTAAACTTTCACATTTACATATTAAATAAATTTTATTTAAAAAAATATAAATATAAATACATAACAAATATATAAGTTATCACAAACACCTAAACTAATTGAATTAAATTAAAAGAATCATTAAAATATAACTTATTAAATTCAATTTAAGTTTAATCGTATCTTTAAAAAAAAAACTAAATTTCATTTTAAACATTTTGTAATCTAAAACGAAGCCTTAAACAGAAATTCAAATAAAATTTAATTTAAAATAAAAAATAAAATCATCCTTCAATAAACAAATAAAATGAAACAAATATATTAATGCCTACAAAATAGACCAAACAATTACCCATTTAATGAACGATGAAAACATAGATAGCCGAAGAAACAGAAGGTGAAGTTACATTTTACAGAATAAAAATTTATATGAAAATATATACAACAAAAACTATTTGAAAAATCAATAGGAATGATGATTATAACAATTTGACAATACTTCATAAAATTTGTCAAGGGATGAACTTACCGAATGAGTCTTAAAAAAGCCAAAAAAAATTCAACTGGTCTCCACAGGCTCAAATCGACAAACACAATCGTATATATTCCCCCTAAACAGTTTCTCTGCTAACCTCTGATTTTTCACCATTGCAAGCTGGAGCACAAGCAAATAATTTAGATTACAAGTATATGAAAATAGGAGTAAAATTGTACAAATAAATATATAAAATAATGATTCCAGAAGAAAATGTAGAAGTTTGTCAGAAGAATAATATGTATGATTCAAAACCGTGATCTCGTAGTGGTAAACTTACACCCTCAATCACAATATCACGAGTAAGTATGCTTACACGACATTAAATTGAAAGAAAAAATTCAAAATGCCTAACCAAAGCTTTGTTTTTTCTATATTTATACCACCCACACTTTTATATCACAAAAACATTACCATCATCTCGACTTTTAAAAAGTGAAATACATCTTTTCATGCATGGGTAACATGGTAACAATGTAAAAATTAATGTTTAGGTGTTTAGATATATAAATACATAAGAATTGGGTGGTCTCTGTAAATCTTCCCTACTATAAACAGCAATAATTGACAGTCCTAATTATGAGAAGTTTTAATATTTACATAAATATCATCAATTCTTATGCATTTACATATCTAAAAAGTAAATTTTGCGTTTACATTTATACCATCAATCATTCATGCCCCATCAAAAATATCATCATTTTTACTTTTAAAAAGTGAAAAACATATTTTTCATGTGTAGGTAAGATGATATGTTTGTAGGTAAAAATTAAAGTTTAGATGTTAGATATGTAAATACATAGGATTGTGTGGTAAATATGTAAAAAAGCTTTGCAATCCATACCTTGAGGGCATCACATCTGAAACGAGCATTCAAGTTTGTATGAAGGGCTCTACCCATCCCTTCTAAGATTATCTGCATTAAGAAAGAAGGTACTCAAGGTGTGTGCTTTTGAAAATGAAAAAAAAAAAAGGGCATTTATATGCATATCACACAATTCTTATATATTTAAATATCTAACACCAAATTTTGTTTTTTACATGAATAGCACTCAAATCTTCAATATTACATAAAAGAATCAACATAACTAACATTTTAAAAGCGAAATACATTTTTTTTCATGCATAGGTTTATAACACCAACAATTATAAATATAAACATCAAATTTTAAGCGTTAGATATATAAATTTATAAGAATTGTGTGTATGCATGTAAATTTCCTAACAAAAATAAAAAAACCTTGATTCAGATGTGATTAAAAGCCATACCAAGTCTGCATCTTTTGCGACGGCGGCGAGCTCCGAGCTGACCTGTCGAAAATCTATGCAGGGCCCACCACAACCATTCTCCACAACCATAAGAGGAACTGAAGTGGATTTCTTTTCTAACTCATCTTCTATGTTAACCATTGCATCAAAAATCAGTCCTCCGGCTTCTGCGGCTTTTCGAAGAATGTCACAATGCTGCAATCCGTAAATCAATTTTTTCATACCATTTTTTTATGCCTGATTTTATCTCTAAAATAGTGGGAAAAGAGAAGGAAATATTTACAATACAAACCTTCGCGGCTTCAGCTACGATTTCAGGTAGTTCGTTGGCAGTGACATCATTCAAAGCAGGCAATGAATTTCCAACCAAGACAACCTGCATAACATGGATCATCTTTGTTATATTATACTAATAAAACATTAAGTTCTTCACTTCATTGACACTTCTAATTAAGGAAATATTATAGCATGTTTATTTGTGTTTAAAAACACTCAATAGGACACAATGGAGAACTTAAATGTTTTATTAGTATAAATAACTCTTATGCGATAAGTCCTACTGTTGGGTTACAAGTCCCACGTATGGGCTTACTCTACAATCATAGTTACAAGTCCTATTTCCAAGCTAGCAATTTTATTAACCTAACCCTCAAATCAATAGATCTTCTTTGTAGGTTGTGAATCTCACCAATCAGATTACTCTACAATTAGAGTTTTAAGTCCCACATTTGGGTTTTTCGTGTGGAAGATAATAAGTGCCACTTATGAGCGTCAACTTGATTTGCCTGGAATACATGAGTAGGGCTGTCAAAAAAGCTGGCCAATCAAGAACAACTAGTGTTCGGCTCGTTAAATGACTCAAATTATTAAAAAAAAAGTCTCGAGTCAAGCAAGCAAGTCGAACACCAACATTTTTTAGCTTGATTTATAAACGAGCCGAACACAAACATACATTTACTCGAATGTATTCAACTCATTTTAGTTTAATTTATGAATGAGCCGAACACAAACATACATTTACTCGATTATATTCAGCTCATTTTAGTTTAAACTGATTAAATAACTAAAAATAATACTTATGATAATTTTTTATTTTTTTTTTTTGCAATTTTAAAAAATAATACATATGAATCTGAATCGGGTTGAACACGAACACACTAGTTCCAAGAGATTATGAACATGAGATGATTTCGAACAAAAACAAATTTTCGAACAAGCCAAATACAAGCAAACATTGGCCTCATTTACACCCCTAAATGAGAAGATAACTCATACTTGCCAATTAGACTCCTTCAAAGCTATGATTTTAAAATCTCTAACTTTGGCAAATTCGGTTCACTCGTAGGCGCCCAGTACTACAAAACCTCTAACTAAATCCAAAGTTACTCCAAGCTTAAATCTTTAAGCACTTTCTTAATTGAGAGGACTCTCCTATTAACTTTGTTCGTTCGTGTTCGGTTCGCTTACACCCCTAATTGAGAGGACTCTCCTATTATATTGAAAGATAACTAACCATGGGACTTGCACCTATAGAAGCCTTAAAACCTATATCTAAATAAATCTTGATCCAACATCAGGTAAATTTTAGTTGAATAAATCAATTTAGCTCAAGAAAAATTCCTCCAAATTTCTCCGAAAAATAGAGGATGTTTGAAGGGTGTATTTCCTAAACCAACAAATTTACATAGCTTCAATTATCCAATCAATGCTTTGCAAGCTAAATTTTCAATAAATGCTTACAACACAAAGATTGTAGTTTTTTTGAAGTTATATTTTTACCATCTCGGCTCAAACAAAAGAGAAAGAATGCAAAAAATAAATCAGAGCATTTGATTGTCGTATAAGTAAATCACCCACCTCCGTTCCGTAACGAAGCAGTTCTCGAGCCAAAGGAAGCATGCCGAGCACGACATCGGCCCCTGAGTTATCAACAAAGAGCAATGCTCTTTTGTAAGATGGATTCTTTCCAGATCCTAGTATTCTTCTCTTAAAAATATCAAAATCATCCACCTAAAAAACAAGAATTGCTCCTTGTAAATTAACAAAAGTCATGAATTAATGTTAAATTTATCCAGCATGAAAAGATGTTTTTCACCAAAAAATTAAAGATACAAAACGCTGTTGTTTTGCTCTGAAACAGTTTACCGCATAATTACTTTGAGGCATTTACATACATGGCACAATTCTTATGTATTTACATATTTCACGACTTAACTTTCATATTTACATTTAGCACTCAAATATTTATTATCACATAAAAAATAAGACTTTTGCCACTTTTTAAAAGTGAAATACACCTTTCATGCATAGATTTAAAGCCCCAAAGTGTTTGTATCTAATTATGAAGGTTTGGGTATGAGATATGTAAATACAGAAGAATTGTGAACTAGATATGTAAATTTCTCAATTATTTTTCATTTCTACTTTTCTTGGAGATCAGGGACAATAAAATCTTGGGAAAACTTTGAAATATTAGGCCTGACAATCAAGATATGACTCATTGAGAGACCAGAGAAAAATTGGTTTCCCAAAGCAAACTTACTCGCCAAGGACGGTGCATCTTCTTGCGACTCATGCGATAAATTTCTATAATAGTTCCTTTATGATATAGGTCCAAGCAGGCACGAGATCCCCAATCAAAAATGTTAGCAGCAAGAACACCCTCAATCAGAGTAAGCAATCTTCCCTCCTACACAAAACAATTCAACAAATCAGTACATACAAAAAGGAAAAAAAGGAGCATTTACATCCTTGGCACAAATTCTTATAGTATTTACATACCCCACACCTGAATTTCAAATTTACACACGTACTCAAATATTTAATATCACATCAAACATAGTACTATCACAACTTTTTAAAAGTGAAATACACCTTTTCAAGCATAGGTTTAAAGCAACAATATGCTAAGTATGTAAATATGAAAGTTTAGGTGTGAGATATGTAAATACATAAGAATTGCGTCCAAAGTTATGTAAATTCCCCAAAAATAAAAAAAACAAGAATAAGATAAAAAGGAATAGTTATGATCCAATATCATGTTTGGAATACTAAATCCCCTTTGCTTATAGAATCTACAATCATATTCTGTAAAATTTATCCTAATGCTTTTGAAGATGATTTTTTTAAAATTTAAAACGGCTAGGATGACACTAGAAATTTTCCGAAAAATACTATATGATAATATTAAAATGACAGAATATTAAAATCTGATGGATAGTATTCAGATAGCAATTTTTCTTAAAATAAAAACATTTCTTCGGTGTTTAACCTGCAAGGTTCATTTGCTTATTCAAACATTTCTTAAAACAGCAATTTTTTTTTCTGAAGATTTATATACACACCACTCAATTCCTATGTATTTACATATCTAACACCCAAACTTCAATTTTTACATACATACCACCTTATCTATGCATAAAAAGATGTATTTCATTTTTTTTTCAAAGCTAAAATGATGGTATTTTTGATATGATATGAAAAATTAGAGTGGTTTGGATGTTTGGATGTAAACAACAACAACAACAACAAAGCTTTAATCCCACTAGGTGGGGTCGGCTACATGAATCTTTTTTCCCTGTTGCGTCCCATTTAGCGTCATATTTTCATTTAGTTCTAATAAATTAAGATCATTTTTTATACAATAAGCCCAAGTCTTCTTAGGTCTACATCTGCCTTTCTTAAAATAAGTCAAATTTAGAACACTACTCTCCTAATCGGATCATCAGATGGTCGACGCTTAATGTGACCAAACTATCTAAGACGAATTTCTCTGATTTTGTCCGTCACAGGAGCTACACCAACCCTATCACCCTATCACAACCTATCACAAATATATTCATTTTGCATTTTGTCACTAAGTGTAAAGCCACTCATCCACCTAATCATTCTCATCTCGTCACAGCTTAGTTTTATGCTTCTCTTTTAAAGGCCAACATTCCGCGCCATAGAGCATTGCAGGTCTCACCGCCGTCTTATAAAATTTTTCCTTTCAATCTAAGAGGTACTTTGCTATCACACAAAAGGCCCGAAGCATTCCTCCACTTATTCCTCCACTTCAACCAAGACCAAGCAACTTGAATTCTACCATTAACATCCCCATCTATATCACCATTCACTTTGAACAACAGACCCAAAGTTACACATCTGTCACTAGAGCTACTACTACTAAAATTACATTCCATCTATTCAATTTTAGTTCTACTCAAATGAAGGCCTTTAGACTACAATATAGACCTCTATAATTCAAGTTTTTCCTGGGCTTTTTCTCTCATCTTATCCACAAGAAAAATATCATCAGCAAAAAACATACACCAAGGTACATCCTCCTGTAAATGTCCAGTAAGAACATCCATAACTAAAGCAAAAAGATATGAGCATAAAGCAGATCCTTGATGTAATCCAACAGCAATAGGAAAATATTTGATCAATTCTCCTTCAGTTTGAACACAAGTAGCAGCTCTAGTATACATATATTTAATGACTTGAATATAAGTCATATCAACACATTTCCTCTCAAGAACTCTCCAAAGGATATCTCTTGGAACATTATCGTAAGCTTTTTCTAAATCAATTAAAATCAAGTGTAAATTCTCCTTATTATTTATGAACTTCTCCATCAACTTCTCAATAAATGTATAGCTTCCATATTAGACCTGTCGGGCATAAATCCAAATTGGTTATGAGAAATCTTTGTAATATGTCTTAACCTATGTTTAATTATCCTCTCCCAAAATTTTAAAGTATGACACATCAACTTAATTCTTCTATAATTTGCACACTCTAGTGCATGCCCTTATTTTGAAAAATGGGGACCAAAATTCTCTTCCTCCACTCCTCAAGCATCTTTTTAGTTTTTAAAATAATATTAAAGAGTTTAGTAAGCCAAGAAACTACCAAATATCCTAGACATTTCCATGCTTCAATTGAGATATCATCAGGTTCTACAGACTTTCCACCCTTGGTTTTCTTTAAAGCCTCAACTTTTTTTCACTAATGCGATGGTAAAAATGAAACATTTTATTATTATTAATGACATCAAGATCACTAAGGTTGATAGTATTTTCAAAAAATTCATCAAATATTTTATCAAAATTACTCACCCACCTATGTTGAATATTGTTTTTCTAAAAAAACACTTTATAATTTTTATCTTTAATACACTTTACTTAGTTAAATCTTTATTTTTCTTTTCTCTTTGTTTGGCTAATTTATACATATATTTCTTACCCTCTTTAGTATCTAATCTATTATAAAGATCATTAAAAACAGAATTTTTAGAGTTGCATATTGTTCTTTTAAACTCTCTGCAGAAAGTTCGATATTTTTCGCAAAGCTTTTACATTTAAACTAATTTTTATAACATAACTTCTTATATTTTATCTTTTCTTGCACATCATTATTTCACCACGAACTAATTTTATTTAAAGAAACTTTTTTTTTTAATTCTCCAAGTACATCTTTTGCTACTTATTTAATAGTGTTTGTTACTTTATATCACATAGCATTTATTTCACCATGAATTTTAAAATTTATTCATAAAAATAATTTTATTTGTCTTTTAGGTTCCCTATCTAATTCTAGGATGATGAGTCCTAGTATTCTTTATTTTACAACTCTTCATCTTAAAATCAAGAACTAATAAACAATGTTGGGCACTTAAATCCTCACTTGGAATGACCTTACAATCATTTACAATCTCGATGATCTCTTCTCATAATAAAATAATCAACTTGTGTTTTATTAGATCCATTCTTATAAGTAATAAGATGTTCATTTCTTTTCTTGAATAAAGTATTGTAATAATAAAATTACTAATAATAAAATTATACGTTAAAGCAAAATCTAAAATAGCTCTACCTTCTTCATTAGTCACTTCAAAACCATAGCCATCTACCGACATGTCCGTTTAAATCTCCTCTAATAAATTTTTTTTCTAAGTCATTCCAGAATTTATCTTTAGACTCTATATCTGAACCTACTTGAGGAGCATAAGCACTTATAATATTAAAAATCTTAGTATCAATGATAATCTTAAGGGTTATAATTCTATCTCCAACTCTATTAATTTTTACAACATTATCTTTCAAACTCTTATCTATAATTACACCTACACCATTTCTAGTGCAACTCTTACCAGAATACCAAAGTTTAAAACCTAAGTTATCAATCTCCTTAGCCTTTTTTCCAACCTATTAAGTTCCTTGAATACATAAGATATTAATCTTTCTACGAATCATAATATCAACTAATTCCATTAATTAGTACGTAAATTTAGATGTTAGATATGTAAATAGTGCTAAGTATGTAAATGCCACTTTTTTTAATCGAAAAGTTTGATACAAGGCCCACTTCACTAAAATAAAAAGAAAATATTTAAACATGAATGAATCATAATTTTGTGGCATCGAATTTCTCATATCCCTCTCCTTCCTCCTCTACTATCTCACTCTCTTCATCATGTTTCCCTCTCTTCAGTACCTATTTCCTTTTCCCTTCTGATTTCATTCCTCTCGTTCACATTTTCTCAGCATAGGAACGAGAAATTATTGAGAGATTAAGAAATTTTTATTGCCTATAATAAACATCAGAAAACTAGTGTCCATCAATGGTAATTCATGATGAAGATTAGTTAACAAAAGTAAAAGCACCATAGTTTCCCTATAAATGTAATTGCACAAGAGAAAGTGAAAGCATACCTCATCCATGCCGTCCAGTTCCAAAAGGAGGTCAGGTAAAACAGCCAGAGAAGCCTCATTTTCCCTTGAGACAAAATACACGCAATAAAGAAAAAAAAAATCGTATAACAATCCTAGGCATTAATAGACGGTTATTCTCCTTCTTTATAAACATGAACTATTCATGTGCATATAAAAAATGATGCTTCCCACTTAATCAATAAGAGTAAAGCGCCAAAAAAAGACTCATTACTGTTTACAAGGGAACACTTTAGCCACAGTCTATAAAAGTGTCAAATTAGTCCCCTGGAGAAAATTTTAACCAATATTAATATAATTTGGGGACTAAATAGCCACTTCTATAAACTCGAGGACTAACATGACCCTTTGCAAGAACTAGACACTTTTCTTAAATTAAAAATAATAATTTCAACGGAATATCCTACATATATAATCTGGTGCTTGAACATGCATACAAGTGTGTATATATGCATGTATGTGTCTGTATGTTTGTCTATCTGTTTGTGTGTTTGTGTGTGTGTGTGTGTTCTATCTATCTATGTGTTAATGAATTTAATTATTAAATTTATTTTGGCACAATTTTTAATGAATTTAATTACTAAATTAATTTGGCACAACTTTTTACAAAGAGAACCCAAAACAAATCGGAAAGAAAACCACCAATCTTCAAACAAATATAGTAGATCATTAAAATGTAGGTAGGAACGAAGTATTTTGTACTGGTGAATTAGTCAGAGCAAAATGCTTCCAATAAATCACCAGCCAAGAGCATTTAGTACAAGTATCCACTATTCATGTAATAAAATTATTTGGGTGGAAACAAAGTCGATCTAAATAAAAGAAAAAAGAGGTGATGAAGATAATAAATCACCGAAGAACTCTAGAAACTTTTGTTCCGAACCTCTGTTTTATAGTAATGTACGCATCTCTGAATTGAAACTCTCTCAAGCATTCCTCCCTTAATTCCAATAGGTTAGCCAAGCCAAATTTCCCATATGCTGCAGGCTCTTCCATCAACCTATAAAGAACGTAGAACAATACACGAATAGAATTAAAAAAAAAGGATTTGCATACGTAGCACACAATTCTTATGTATTTACATATCTCCCACCAAAACTTTCATATTTACATATATAGCACTTTGATGCTTTAAATCTATGCATGACAAGGTGTATTTCACTTTTAAAAGGTGATAATAGTGCTACTTGTTATATGGTATTATAGATTTGAATGGTATATTTGTAAATATAAAGGTTTAGGTATAAGATATGTAAATACACAAGAATTGTGTGCTATGTATATAAATCCCCCTTGAAATAATAGTTCAATGAAGTAAAAGCTTCAAAGAATACTAATAAAAAACACAACCACAAAGTTCTTCATTTACAAGAATTCACTCATAAAATAAGACTAATGGTTTTCTTTGGAGGCTTAGTTAACAAATATACTGTTATGACGGTGACTAAGGGTACGTTAATCTTTTGTTATTTGTTATCGTTGAGTATAAATAGGGTTAATATGTTTAGGGTTAGGGTTATGCATAAAATTGTAGTTTTTAGTCTTAAGGTTGAGTTTTGGGAGAGACTTCCTACCAATTGAATTCTAGAATTTGGAAGATACCACCTATCTCTTTAATTTTAAGTGCTTTCTTTAATGAATTCATGTGAGTTGTTTGATGTTATAATACTTTGATTTGGTGATGGTGAAATAAAGTATTGTGTTTGCCATATTTTTTTGTGGAAAAAATGGCATGAATTGTATTAAATTGGTAACAGAGCCTTCGATATCTGAAAAATCAAACATCAGATTATTGTGTAGAGGAGTTTCGTCGCCCACAACACTAAAACTTGCAATAAAGTGGTAGGTTCAGATAATCTGTCGGTTCTGACCTTATTGAAATAAAGGACAAGTAATCGGGAAGGATCAGTCACCATTAAGTTGCAATAGGCAAGCTGGGAAGCAAAGTACGGGATCATGGCATACAACAGCTGCAATTTGTCCTAGCTGGGACACTAGCGAACGGAATAGCAATGCATGACCTAATCTAGTGATACAACAGTGTGATTCAAGCTAGCTGGGAAGGATTGCAGTGTATAACGCCACTTTTGTGATTTAGCCTCGCGAAACAGTAGTGATATGGGATAGCTGAGAGAATGACGAAGGGATTTTGTGCAAGGCACGATTACACCTATCCAAAGTTAAATGTGCTAAGATATTGGAGAGATGACAGCAAGGAAAGTAGATGATTTGGAAGATAAATTGGAAGGAGAACAAGGACAACCTAAATTTGAGATAGAGAAAAGGTTTTCCTCCATTGACAACCAATTTGAGAAGGTGGAGGATATCATAAAGAAGCTTATTGAGATGTAATCCAAGATCCTACTGACTACTCAATTTGCAAACCCTAAACAAAGGTTGATTGGGGAATATATGGCCTGATCGAAAGGAAAAGAAATCGAACGTGAGGAACATGAGAAAACATCCACCATTAAGAATTCCCCATAGGACACTCATTGAGGGTGGATTAGAGATCGATTGACGGGGTTTGTCCTGAAAAATGGAGGGGTTATATAAATAGTTTGGAGGAGCACAAAAAATGAAGAAGCCGAGATGGAATATGACTATGATCGAAGGAGAGAGTTTTACCATAATAGATATACGGAGGGAACACTGAAGGGAGAGAAATTTGAGCTGGAGATACTAAGATTAGGAAGTTAAATATATCGATCTTCAAGAGGGAAAACACACATGGCTAGGTGTACCAGATAGAGAAATATTTCGCGGTGAATGGGCAACGGAGAGGAAAAGCTCATGAAGGCAAGGTTATGTTTAGAGGGAAAAACCCTAGAATAGTTTTAGTGGAGGAAGGCTAGACATCCAATTCGTTTGCAAGAGGAATTTAAAGATTACTTGTTAGAACTTTTCCAAGTCATTTGGGAAGGAGACCTACATAAGCAATTATGTCTTGAGTGAAGAAGAGACTATGATGAAATATAGAGAGAGATCTGAACTATTGTCGACACAGTATAGAGGGATTTCTGAGGCAGAATTAGAAAGGAAATTCATAAAGGGCCTAAAGTCTGACATACGAGCAGCACTCCGACTATTGAGACCACGAGAAATGAGGGAAACGATTGAGTAGCTCAGATGGTTGAAGACAAGAAACAAACGAATAAAACCGACAAAAGCGGCACCACGGGAGGATTCCACAACATAAGACTACCTCGACGACCATGACACCAAGAACCCAAACTGTGTCATTTCAAAGGAGACGCCAAAGAAGAGATATACGAGGGTCAGTCTCGGAGGCAACTTCAAGTGCCTCAAAGGCAGAGGTGCAGGAGAGCAATGAAATTATGTTCTGATGAGAGAGGCTTCCTCTCAAATTGCAGTACTTTGGAGAGATCACATACCTCTCGAATTGATGATGCTTATTTGTTATGTATTCGTGTGAGTTGTTATTGTATTACTTTGATTTGGTGTGTGAAATAATTGTGTTTGTCCAAATTTTTGTGGAAAAATCAGCTTGGATTGTGTCATAGAAGATAGAACTATAACATAGGAAGAGACTATGAAGTAACCGCCATTGCATTTACTCTCATGTGTGCAATCAATGCTGCGTAGAAAGGCATTCCGGGAACAAAATATTTTGTGCTAGAAAGAAACTTCGTTCGATGAACGAGATTTTCTCACAACCAGGGGGATTAATGGAAGTAGTATGATGGCCAATGTGCCTCTACATTTATATGGGTGTTTTAGTCTAGTACTATTTTCACAAATTGGATGTCAACTTCTAAATAAACAAAAGGAAATCAAACCATCATACTTAATTAGCATGAACATACATACATATTGTTTTTTAATAACGTTCAAGCAGCACATCTAAAAGACTTGTCTAAAATAGCTTACCACTTCTTACTCTTCTCCATACCAAAGCTATGTCAAATAAAAGCTTCAACACTGCTTTGCATCTCATTATGTATAGAAAACTTAGGGTATTTTTGGGATGGATGTAACTTTTCGTGAAAGTGAGGTCTCGACCTTAAATCGAGCCAAGATATTTTTTTTTTCTAAGTGCATACTCACTTTTTCTTCATAATGTTTTCTTCCACACTTTCTTCTTTTAAATGTAAACCTAATTCTTTCATCCTTTGCCACTTCTTACTCTTCTCCATACCAAAGCTATGTCAAATAAAAGCTTCAACGCTGCTTTGCGTCTCATTATGTATAGAAAACTTAGGGTACTTTTGGGATGGATGTAACTTTTCGTGAAGGTGAGCTGTCGAGCTATTGTGGGAGAAAATAACTTGTTAAAATGCTATTGTTACTGTCATAAATAGTTTTCATTTTAAAAAAATCGGACAACTTTCTAATAGTTATCATGCTTTCATATTTAGTTATACAAAGTATCTCCCACCACATAATTTATGAAAAGCATTAAACAAAAAGTAATCAAATGGAAATGTGACAGCAATATGAAGAAAGAAAGCAACTAAAGAACTACCCTAAACAGATCCTAAGCATCAACTAATTTAAGTTACAGTTTCTTTAGAAACATATTACATTAAACTCTATTCATGGGATTCGTATTATATCAACAAAGCCTCGATAAGCATGTTAAAATGAACCCCATATTTTGATTTCTCTATAGAGCATCATACCGCTCAATTTTGAATCTCATTTTTATAGCTTTTTCTACACTACTTCAACTAGTCTAATTTATTCACCTTGGCATTTACTTTTTGAAAATATTTACAAGTGGACGTTACAACAATTTGTTTTACCAAGCCCTATCTGATGTCGGACTTAACCCAAATCACGACGCAAGACACGGTTTTATTATTGAATTAAAATGAGTGTACAATGAAGACTTAAAATAAAGAAAAACAACACAAAAAGCAAAAGCGCAAAAACAAATGATTACAAATAATGACTCAAAAAAGAAGACACAATAATCTTGACAAGGAGGGAGTGAGGGAGGTGGTGCAAAGGCAGAGGCAGCTGTGGTGAAGGCCGGAGAAGCGTCGGGCTGTTGTGGAAGGATCATGGCAGCAAATCAATGATAGTAGAGGTGTTGAACCACATCTGTGGGAAGTAGGAATAGTCGTCAAAGGTTGGACCCGAAGAGGCAGCGGATGGCGGCCTACAGGAGTCAGGGTGGCGGCACAATGCATGCAGGGGCAAGGGTGATGTGGCTTGTTGGGGCAGGGCGGCGACGCAATGCCTACGGAGGCAGGGAACAAAGAATGTGGCATACAGGGGCAGGGTGGCGTCAAGGTGCCCTGCGAGGGCAGGGAGCAAGGGACGGCCTGCAGGGGTAGGGAGGAAGGAGGGCGACTGAGGCCGAGGAGCGGAGGCAGAGGGGTCGCGGGGATGCAAAGAGGAGACTTGCAGCTGGCAGAAGGAGTTGGGATAGTCGGACGAGCCAATGGAGGCATGCAGGAAGTGCGGTGGCCTGGAGGTGATAGTGTTGGAGGCAGAGGGGTCGCGGTGATGCTAAGAGGAGGCTTGCAGCTGGCAGGAGGAGTTGGGATAGTCAGACAAGCCGATGGAGGCATGCAGGAAGTGCGGCGACTTGAGAGGTGGAAGGACAATAGCTGGAAGGTAGCGAAGCTGCCGGTGGAATGCTTGAGGTGATAGGGGTGGCGGCGACCTGTACGAAACAGGGAGGCTGTCGGGGAGGAAGCATGTTGTTGCTAGAAGGCGGCAAGAGTGACGGTGGCCTACAAGGATGCAGGCAAGAGTCAGGGACGAAGGAGATAATCACCACCTCAGACGGGGTTACACTCGGAACACCTTCCCCGTTGTCAGATACAACCCTCAAGGGTAGAAACACTAGACAATACTAAATTCATATTCAAAATCAAGACCCTTAACTCTAAGGACATCATCTACTATTTATAAAGAGGTTGGACTTATGTCAAGTAATAAAAATAAGAAATGATAATAAAATATAATCAGGATTTCAAATTTTAAGAAAGAATTTAAAATAAAAAAGAATAATAAAATATAATCAGGATTTCAGGTTTTAGGAAAGGATTTAAAATAGGAAAGTGCTAGGAAGCAAAGAGTGGGGGAGAGAGAGGAAAGGTGAGGGAAAAGGGGAAAGGAAGGAAAGGGGAAAGAGGACCAGCCGATCCAGCAATGTGGGACCGAACCTAGGCCGGTCCTCCAGAACCCCGTGTATTGTAAACATTAATCTCTCTAATTAGAGTCTTAGCGAAATTAAACATTAATACCTTTGTATTGTAAAACCTCTCAGATAGAATGAAGCCAAACCGGTGTAACAGTTAGAATTTCATCAGAAACTCCAAGGTTAAGCATTCTTTTGTGAGAAAGCTCTTACAATAGGTGATCTCTTGGGACGTTACACCAATTAAACAAAATCATGAGGTCATTTGGCCAAAGCAAACAATATCTCGAAATGTGAGAGTTCGAGCAGTTACAAATAGTATTGAAGTGTTACATTAGCCTAAATATGGGAACTAAGTATCATACAGAATAAAGTGCTATATTATGAGAGTTGCCTCTTCAATCCTATATGGGACAAAATGTTATATGGTGGGAGCTAGCTCTTCAATATGTAAAAGCCACCTCTATAAATTCATCTGCCTGGTGGATGATTCTAGATTAAGAGGATTGGCGAGGATGTCAAATACTTAAATGGAGGAGTTTATAAAACTGATTCAATATAAGGATGTTGAACTCTTAAACATCAAAGCTTCTTTTTGGAATAACGGTTGGAATGTCATTAGAAACTCCAAAGTTAAACGTGTTCGTGCGAGAGCACTTTCACGATGGGTGAGCTCCTAAGAAGTTACATCAATGGAGAAAAATCATACGGCCACTAGCCCGAAGTGGACAATATATCGATAGGTGAAAGTTTGGCCATTACACATTTATAAGGAGGTATAAATTAGGTCTTTGTCATCTAGTTATTGGCAAAATGTGGTGTTTGAAAATATTCCTACATACTACTACTCTTATCGATTTTTTTGGCACAAACTTTTTAATGTTTCATTGCTCATCCTATGGGTAAAAAATAATCAATCAAAATCATAGGACCTTTCAGATGATGCTCGCATAAATCCTCCATACCCTTTAGTGGATGTTTTCTCAGTTGTTCAGGCTTGTTCCCAAAATATACTTCGTATCAATATATTTCTTTTCGCTCGGCCATTTCTTGGCAAATCCATTGACATGCTCTTATCATTATCTAATTAATATATTTTTAACATTTAGAAAAAAAAACTTTTAAGGTTTGAAGTGTTGTTATTGCATAACTTTTCAATAGAATCAATAATGGCGAAGAAAATGTGAAATATTGTGCATGCATTTAAAGATTCAACTAGTTGTCATGGGCAAAGCCAAATTAAAATTGTCGTGTCCCTTGACTACTGTACATAGCCATAAATATGTTATTCCAGAGTCAACAGTCATATAAAATCTAACAAAAATGTGCATTAACTTGACAAACGAAATTGAAAATTGTCCCAAAAAATAAGGGAAAGA